GGAAGAACTTGTTTGCTGTGAGGGTGGTGAGAGCCTGGCCCAGGTTGGCCAGAGAAGCTGTGGCTGCCCCATCCCTGGAGGGGTTCAAGGGCAGGTTGGAGGGGGCTTGGAGCAACCTGGTGTGGTGGGAGGTGTCCCTGCCCAGGGCAGGGGGTGGCACTGGGTGGGCTTTAAGGTCCCTTCCAACCAAAACCACTCTGTGATTCTACGATCTGCTGTCCTGGCAAGCTCCGTCAGCCATGAACGCCTGAGCTGCTCCTGAGATGCAAAAAGGCAGCTGCTTTGGTGCCAGGCTCGGGTTTGCGACCAAAACTGCCTCCTGGAGCTCGGACAGACCCTGGGGACAGGGCAGGGGCTGCACAACCAGCCCTGGGGAGGGACAAGAGGGTATGAGGTGGCTCCTTCCAAAGGCAAGCTATCCCCAAACCATGCTCTGAGCAGCAAGCCTGATGTCCACGGGTTAGGGCTTAAGCCTCTCACTTCATCAAATCTAGGCTGGAAACCTGGGTGCAGGCTGAAAAACGCTTGGTGCTGTCTCTGAGCAGCTTTCCCTCGGCGGGGTCCCTGCCCGGAGGACCGGCCGTGCCGCTCCAAGTAGCCATGTGATGCTTTTGGAAGCTCCTCTGCATTTTTCTGCTGCTCCAAGCCATCGTCGGGAGGCCAGAGGCTGAATCTGAATATTTGCTTCTTGCTTAAGGGCTCTGTTGAGTCCAGGACGGCCACGTGCCAGCTAGGGCAGATAGCTCTCCATTAGTGAGAAGGCTGGAAGGTCTCGGGTCTGCTCATCAAGGTGAGGAGTAACACTGAGTGCTCCTGCCTCCAACAACCCTTTGGGAGCCACCTTTGAGCCTGCCTGGCTCAAAAAGAGAAGGCAGAGCTTTGAGTCCTGAGTTTTTACCCACACAAGTGACAGAGACCAACCCCCAAAGGAAACCCCCATCTGCTGTGATGCAGGAAAGCGCTGCCAAGCCAAAAGAAAAGCCTTGGAAGAGACCACGGGAGCAGGTTTTTCACTTTGCCGGGTTCCTCAAGGGGAGAGGGGTGGGAAGTGTGAGACTCTGGGTGACTGGTACCACTGGAGCACCCTCGGCACGTCCCTTCACAAAGAGCATCCCTCACCCAGGGGTGCAGGAGGCATCTACGCAGCTTTGAAGAGCTCTTTCCCTTGATGCTGCCCTTCCTTTCTCCTCCCGCTGGGGCTCAGCCCTCCCTCCGTGAGGTCCCCTTGGGTGGTGGCATGGATGAGGCATCACACCATGGTTTGATCCAGTGATGCCATGCTGGATGCTGCTGGAGAAGGTGGCAGACCAAGTATGGCACGTCTTGGACCATGGCAGATGGACCATGTGCCAGGGCTGGGTTACCCCCCACCCTGCTGGTCCCAGGCAAGGGAGAAGAAACGATCTAGATTCTTCCTAGTGAACGATAGAAGCTTTTGGAGCTTTTCCTGTTATTTTCAAAGCTTTTCCTGTTATTTATTTGTTCGGGACCGCCAGGGCTGGGTTACCCCCCACCCCGCTGGTCCCAGGCAAGGGAGAAGAAACGATCTAGATTCTTCCTAGTGAACGATAGAAGCTTTTGGAGCTTTTCCTGTTATTTTCAAAGCTTTTCCTGTTATTTATTTGTTCGGGACCGAGGTCACCGATGGTGAGATCACCCACCACAAGCCCCCACCTCTGCCCAGAAGGGCTGGGGGTGCTTCTCCCACCCATTTTCCCCACGGCGGGCAGGCACCGGAGCAGCTCTGCACATCCTGGGCCAAGAGCAAGAGATGGTCCCACCTCCACGGTCCCACCTCCTGCCGAGATCACTGCCCAAACCAGGTTTGAGCACACCATGTACCGTAACCTCTGCCTCCAGGACTTCGGGGACAAACCAGGAGAGAGACTAAAGTCCTTTCTGAGTCAGCAACCGGAGACCAACGAGCTGGAGCTGGGTTAGAAATCAACCACCTTTAACTGCAGACCCTCTTCCCTGACCTCGCCGACCTTCGAACTCGCCCACGGGCAACGTGAGGGGGGAAAAAAAAGTGCTGCGCTGGGCTTTCATAAAAACCCCTGTCCCCAGTTCCCCTTTCCCCCCAGCACGCATCCTTCAGCTGGGAATCACTGCCTAAAATAAACAGGTCGCTTTTCCTTCCCTGCTTCCCCGTTCCTGGGCCGGCTGGTAGGAGAAAGGATGGTCCCAGAGGGGAAGATGATGGCTCCAAAGGGAGCAAAAAAAGGCTTGTGGCAGCAGCTGGGGGGGAAGGACCCGTGTTTTAACTTCGAGCATCCCCTTGGTCCTCTCCAGCCCTCGCTTTTCCTTCCCTGCTTCCCCGTTCCTGGGCCGGCTGGTAGGAGAAAGGATGGTCCCAGAGGGGAAGATGATGGCTCCAAAGGGAGCAAAAAAAGGCTTGTGGCAGCAGCTGGGGGGGAAGGACCCGTGTTTTAACTTCGAGCATCCCCTTGGTCCTCTCCAGCCCAGAATGAAACATCACCAGCATCTCCTGAAGGGGTCTGGAGAATAAGTCTTATGAGGAGAGGCTGAGGGAGCTGGGGTTATTCAGCCTGGAGAAGAGGAGGCTGAGGGGAGACCTTATTGCTCTCTACAACTCCCTGAAAGGAGGGTGTAGAGAGGTGGGGGTCGGTCTCTTCTCTCAAGTCACAGGCGACAGGACGAGAGGAAATGGCCTCAAGTTGCACCAGGGGAGGTTCAGGCTGGATATTAGGAACAATTTTTTCACTGAAAGGGTTCTCAGGCATTGGAATGGGCTGCCCAGGGAGGTGGTTGAGGCACCATCCCTGGAGGTGTTCAAAAGACGGGTTGATGTAGTGCTGGGAGGTATGGTTTAGTGATGATGCTCCTTGTTTGTTGTGCGGGTGTCTATTTTTGTCAGTTGGGTTGATGGTTGGACAAGATGATCTTTAAGGTCCCTTCCAAACTAGAAGATTCTGTGATTCTGTGATTCTGTGAAGTCAAACATGAGGTTGGCTTCTCACCCCGCTGCCGGGGGAAGGACCCATGTTTTAACACCCACCCTCCCAGCCCTTCGAGCATCCCCTTGGTGCTTTCCAGCCAGGAATGAAGCATCACCAGCATCTCCTGAAAGTCAAACATGAGGTTGGCTTCTCACCCCGCTGCGCGCAACAGCTGAGCTGGCGTGTGGACAAGGGCGGGATCGGAACGTGGGAATGCACATACGGCTTCAATTTGAAAAGGGGCTAAAAATAGCAGCACGAGGCTCCCACGTTCACTGGGGCTCTCCAGCGAGAGAGCAGTCTTTTCCAAAGACTCCCCGTAAAAGTTTTTCCCCCCCCCAGCTCTCCTTCCCACCTTGCTATTTCAGGAGGCAACGGAGACGGAGCTAAACCAGCGCCATCAGTAGGTTCCAGAGTGAACCCCAGCACCCCGGGGCAGGGCTCACCCTTCCCAGAACCACTGCTTTGGCTCCAGACCTGCCTCCACCCCACGTGAGCCACAACGTGACTTGACAGAGTCACATATATATGATTTTTTTTTTTTTTTGGCTTTACAGGATTTTTTGGGGAGTGAATCACCATGAAAAGCCCTGGCTTGAGCCGACCGCGCCGCGCTGCTGGGAAAGCCAGCCAGGGCTCATCCTGCTGGACCCGCAGGGAAAGACTGGAGGTGGCTGCCACATGGGAAAGCTTTTAAATGGGCCCCTGCCCACGCTCGTTACTGCTCTAATTGCCCTGCTCCCCTAACGAGGAGATAGGGCTGCTTCCCCTGCCGAGGGCTGCTCAAACCAGGGAGAAGAGAGGGGACGCTAGGAGGGGGATGCTGTCTCTGCCCTATTCTTAGATCCCCCATATGGTTAAACCCATCATAGAATCATCTAGTTTGGAAAGGACCTTCCATCATCGAGTCCAACCACCACCATCACGCTGCCAAAGCCACCACTAACCACGTCTGCCCCGCTTTTAGATACTTTTCCAGACTCTTACCAGAAGCAAAAAAACCACATATGCCCAGCTAGAGTGTTTTTTTGGGAGGGGGAATGCAATGTATTACATCCAAATTTAATGCAAGGTGGGGGAAACCTCTGAAATCCTCACCCTCCAGCCCAAAGAGCGGCCCTGCCCCACGTTTCATCTCATTTTTGCAACCCACCACGTGGAAGCTTCACCTCCACCTTCATCGCTGACGGGGCAAAGCCGGCGGCAACTTTTCGGCGCCCGAAGACTTGGGCACAAACTGCAGCCCCGAGTGGGTACAGCTCAACCCCCCCCAGCTGGGCTGAGAAGATTTTTGGGAGCTCTGCATGCTTTATTTTCCCAGAGTGGTGATGGGAGCCCCCCCACCCCAGCCTTGTGCACCCCTCCAGCTTCAGAGAGGCAGCTCCTCGTCTCCCGCAGGGAGCAGGGTTTGGGTTTCTGGCATCTCCCCCCAGGATGTCACCTCCCCAAAAGCAAGGGGAAAAAAATCCTGCCCCCTCCTCACCCATTTCCCCACCTCGCCTTGACCGTTAAAGCCCAGTATTTCCCAGCGAGGCGAGGAATTGGTGTCCCTTTGCCCCAAATTTCATTGCGTTACGGATGATGCCCTGCCAGCTGCCACCACGCTGGGCTTTCCAGCCTCCTCAAGAAGCTGAAGCAAATCCTACCAACTCCGAGGGTGGAAATGTGATTTTTGGGAGGGGGACCAGGCTTTCGCTGGGCGAGCATCGCGCCGAGCTGGGTTGGAGGGATTCACTCGAGTTGGCACTCCGAGCCGAGGCCTGTCATCATCCACCGGCCGGTCTAGTTGGTTCTTAACCAAACGGGCTCTGACAATGCAATTTAATAAGGAGCTACTTTGCCTCCGGGGATGGGAGCGAGCAATATGGTGCCTCGACATGTGAAAGGCAAGTCCTGTTTGCTCTGAAACCATCTGGGTGAAGGAGGGAGGCTGGGAGAAATGGTTTTGGCTCGGTGCTTGGGCTGTTCGACCCTGTCATCCCCATCCCACCCTGCCCGGGGGGGTGCTTGATGGAGGGGGGGAGCTTGGAGTGCTCTGACCTGATGATGAAGGCTCCTCTGGTCTCCAGGAGTTTCCGTTCGCTGCTGAAGCGCTTGAGGAGGTTGATCATGAACTTGTAGAAGTAGGAGTTCATGGTGGGGGTGGAGGGGGAGCACTCCAAGCCTTTGGCACCTGGGGAGGCAGGGGAAGGGGAGAGCGAATTAGAGTGGCTGGGGTCCCCCTGCCACAGAGGAGACTTTACAGAGCAGACACCCCAAAATATGGTTATAGCACTGAGCAGAGGAGGGTTGGGGGCATGAAAAGAAGATTTCCAAGCCTCGAGTACCAGCATCTGCTTGGTCCAAGCAGAGCCAGCCCTGCCGCAGCTCTCCCCATCCCAGGGGAAAGTATCCCATGGTGGTCTGAAGCAGCACATGGGGGGGAAAGGAGCTTTTTTAGGAGATATCCCAGAGCCCTTCAGCTTCAGTAGCTGATAGAAGAGATGCCCCAGGCTCTAAATCGATGGGTGATCCCGTCTCCTCAGATACGGGATGTACACTCACCCCAAAAACCAGCTTGCCACTGAGCTGAAGAGCCTTTAATCCAGCCCCACGTGCCAGATGCCCGAGCACGCAGCAGCAGACACACACATCCAGCAGCAGACACACACATCCAGCAGCAGACACACACGTCCAGCCCTGGGTCACGGCATGGCCACCAATTTACACTCGGTGACACGATTTTCCCTGAGCAGGGGCCACTGGGTGCATCAGTGTCACATACAAGGTGCCCCAGGGCTCAGCTAAACCACGGCAGAGCCCCAGGCTTAGAGACTGGACCAAAAAATGTGCTGTTTTGTTCACTGTTTGCAAAAAAACCCACCCTTTAAAACAAAAGCAGCTGAAGGCTGGGGAAGGGGCACGAAGGAGCAGTGCTCCCTCCAGCCTGGAGCATCCCTGCTTCTGCTGCAGCCACCGTTTCTGCCCAGAAGGCAAACAAGGCTTTGTTTGGAGGCAGTTTCCATCCTTTCTAAGTCTCAAAGGCAGAATAATAAAGGTCATGAGGGTGGCTGGGACTCTCTGAGCAAGGAGGGTGCAGGAAAAGCCCCGGTGGGAGGGAAGGTGAGGGTGTGAAAGCGGGGAGAGAAGAGAGATGGTGTGTTTTGGAGAGCCCAGATGTGCTCCCACCCACCCAGATGTGCTCCGACCCACCCAGACCCAAAGCCCCTCAAGCCTCTGAAGCTCTTTCATGTTTCCATGCTTCACCTGGGGCTGGAGGCTTTCCAGTGGTACGGTGAAGGGACGCTCTGCACCCTCCTGTCACCCGGAGCTCCAAAACCCTCTGCTCAACTCCTCTGCCAAACGGCCAGCGTCCCCCCGGGCACCTCTCGGGGCCACAAATCCCCTCTTGAGGAGCTCCTGTTGCTCATTTAACAGCAAGACCTTAAACCAGGTGGTAACGACCACGAGATGCTGCCACAGACAAGCTCTCCGTGCTGCTCGGTGAGATCCTAACGGGGTCTGACAGGAATTGGAGGGCATGTACCTGGGGAAGGGGTGGCAAAGGGGCATCTCCCAGCTCAGGGGACGCGGGGAGGGTTAGAAAAAAATACCCCTTCAAACCTACAGATGCCGGGAGCAGGTGAAGATTGCTTTTCCCACAGCCAAACGGTGGGGGAGAGGGTTTATTTAGCAGGACGGCGCTCAAAGCAAATGTTTGGAGAGAGGGTTTGAAAGAGTAGTTTGCAGTGAGGGGAGCTCCCTCCCTCAGCTTCTCCGGTGGAAAGACCACGTCTAACCCTGGTAAGAAGTCAGCACACACCAAGGTTATTCCCTCCCCCCTTCCTCCCCATCCTGAGAACAGCCAGTATTTCCATCAGATCACCGAAGGAAACCCAAAGAGTTTGATTTATGAATGCTGTCTGCTTCCTACTGAGACTCAGCAGAGCATGGAGCAGCCAATTAAAGACGCAATCAAGCCCAGGGACACTGATGGAAAAGCCACTGGGCTCTTTTCTACCCGACTCGTCCCGGTGACACGCAGAGATACAGAGGTGGGCTCAGCCAGGGTTCAGATGTAGCATCTGAAGGAACATACACAGCCGAAGAAAAAGGAAAATTAAACACGGGGGGGATCTGGACCAGAACCTGGTGGCTGGGGCCATGTGGTCACCCTGAGCCCAAAACCCCAAACCAGGCATCTCCCAGAGCACAAGTGTTGGCCGTAGCATCCCTCAGCTGTGGGGAAGATGATCCGGGTGAAAAAAATACAGAAAGAAAAGAAAAAAGGATCCAGCCGAGCCGATGAGCTCCAAAACCAAAGGTGGGTTTGTTCGAGGGCAGGGAAGACCCGAGGTGAAAACAGGCAGAGCCTCAAAAGCAAGTGCTGGTTTTCTTTCTGGTGCCGAGGGTGGGGAGGGGAGGTGAAGAGCAGATGGAAACCATCTTTCAAAGCTGCAAAAGTGGAGTTTCTCCCTTCTCAAGACCCCAAAAATCATCAAGGATGGCATTAAGTCTCTCTACAGACAGACTACGCTACTAGCAGTGGGCCCAGGTGGCCAAGAAAGCCAATGGCACCCTGGCCTGTATTAGAAATGGTGTGACCAGCAGAAGTAGGGAGGTGATTGTCCCCCTGTACTCAGCACTGGGGAGGCCACACCTGGAGTGTTGTGTCCAACTTTGGGCACCTCAATCCAAGAGAGATATGAAGGTGCTGGAGAGGGTGCAGAGGAGGGCAACGAAGCTGGTGAAGGGTCTGGAGAAGAAATTGTACAAAGAGCGATTGAAGGAGCTGGGACTGTTTAGTTTAAGGAAGAGGAGGCTGAGGGGAGACCTCATCACTCTCTACAGCTACTTGAAAGGACATAGAGAGGTTGGTGCTGGTCTCTTCTCACAGGTAATTAGCGATAGAACAGAAGGGAATGGCTTCAAGCTGCAACAGGGTAGGTTTAGAGTGGCCATTAGGAAACAATTCTTCACAGAAAGAGTGGTCAGACCCTGGAAGAGGCTGCCCAGGGAGGGAGTTGAGTCACCATCCTTGGATGAGTTTCAGAGTCGTTTAGATGTGGTGTTGGGGGATATGGTGTAGGAGAGAACTTTGTGGAGTGGGGTTGACGGTTGGACTCGATGGTCCCAAGGGTCTTTTCCAACCTGAATGATTCCATGATTCTACAATTCCTGCCCACCGCTTCCTCTGCATGGCAAAGCCAGCTTGGTACCTTATCACCTCTTGGCATGCCTTCCAGTGACAGC